AATCAAAGAAAGTAAGGAAAATATTAATTATTTACACATAAATCGGAACCTTTTTCACGTAATGGTGGTCCCAGAATACAGCACTTAAATACGAAACTATAGGAAAGTAACACACATCACTTTGTCATTTGGGTCGCAGTAATTATTCTAGCATTTACGCATTATTCACAAGCCTTCGTTTATCAATAAAGGAGAAACTACACATAATTATGCGATCGTATGCGCACGACTCTCAAGCACTTTTAATTAAATCACCATTAAATTTTTAATATTTAATTAATCAAAGTCACATTTCGGGGCTCAAAAGAACACAAACAGAATTACCACAAATATGAGTGACAACGACGGACACCCAGGGAAAGTTTATTTTAATTCTCAATTTTGAATAAAATTATATACTATAGAAATGGCAGGTTTTCTTAAGAAAATCTAAATTTATATTTTCATCCTATGGAACATTTAAAATGTTTAGTTATAGTAGCACGCTATGATGGCCGTTTTGACGTTGGTGCGTCTATGTTTCATATTCGAAATTTGAAATTAGCTCTACATTGGAAAAAAAAACATTATTGTTTTTCATTATCATTACAGACGCGCATTTGGTCATAAAAATTATCGAATCGGTAATTTTAGGGTGCAGAAGTGCTATTCTGTAAAATAAAAATTTAACAAAAGTAAATATTATGGTCTAACTATATAATATTAATGCTACGAAAACCTTTTAATGTTTAAATCAATTAAATACACATATATTACCATTTTTAACATAAAAGCACCGGCTTTTGGACAGACTCTTTAAATGACCTAATCATTGTTAATTAAATTAATTGATTATTCCATTGTAATTATCATTAATAAGTGTTACTTTATTATTCACCACATAACACGGAATTTGTATTTTTCAAAATTCAAAATATAAAAACATGAAATCAATGAGATTGGTACATATAGGATTGCGGAGTTATTCGCTTTATTATAATCAGCAACTTCGTTCGGTTAAAATTTCAAAATTACCTAATGACACTCGCATTTGACTATATTAGATTTTTTCGATAAAAAAATTGTTTTTTATCGTCACTATTGCAATGTTTCAAAACGGCCATCATATCGTGCCGCGACTATAGTAAATATGATAGAATAAAAAATATGGTACAAATTACTCATTCAGATTGATTACCTACCATTCATCAAATTTGCTATCAAGCAAATGGAATGTTTTTATCAACGAACCTTATAATTTTGAAGTTTTTAACTTCTATCTGAGTAACTGTTTTGTATTTAATAGTAACGTAATTAAATTAATCCGTTATATTCAATAAGTTTCATTTTGCGTTACTTGCTTCCAATAATTCAAACCCTATGATTGGCGTGCGCAATACTGCACGCTCGATATACCAATCACATTAGAGCTTCAACACTCTCAAGCCATATTATTGGCAGAAATAAAGACGTAAAGGCCTGTTTTCCCACTTTCTAATATACTTACCGATTGGCTTATCCATTACCCATCTCACTGATTACATTCAGATTCGGGTTCTAAAAGTGTTGAATGAAGTCGTATTTTTAGACTGCCAGAAAATACCTTGGATTATCTCTAAGCCGGCAGAGACCTAATTGAAAATGCATGAATTCAATTAATCGTTAGATATGCTGTGAAAGATGAACGAGAACTGTCAGCTAATGAGTTTCTGGGGGCCAATCGCCTAACTGGATTGCTTTGGAAAACGCTATCGCTTACGATTTCATTTTGTTATTTCTAGCCCCCTGAGGTTTTCAAATGCCTCGCGCTCTTTTTTTTTTCTTTTGCATTGGTAATAACAATGTTAAAGAAAATGAGCGTGAGGTATTTCGGCGGTTAGAAATAACAAAATGAAATCGTAAGCGATAGCGTTTTCCAAAGCAATCTGGTTAGGCGATTGGCCCACTGGAAGGTAGTCGAAACTTGCCCAATCAAGTGCAAAAAAATACTATATATTCCCCGGTTCTGAAACTTATATTTTGCCTCTTAAGCTTATTGACGTAGCAAATAATCGGTAGGTATATAAATAAATGTTTTATATGAAATGTTAAGGTACCATATATTTCTGCTCCTCATCAAATCACGCTACTGGGATTGAAACCTAGGACTAGTGAATACTAGTGAAAGACATAAGGCAGGAACCATTACTGAACCATCCAGACCATTCATCATCATCATCATCATCAGCCTATTAATGTCCCCACTGCTGGGGCACAGGCTTCCCTATGGATGGAATAGGGAGATTGGGCTATCACCCACCACGCGGGCCCAGTGCGGGTTGGTGGGTGCTAACGACTGCAGATGCAGCCGGGACCAACGGCTTAACGTGCCTTCCGAAGCACGGAGGAGCTCGAGATAGTAAATTATGGTCACCCATCCAATGACCGACCACTGCACGATCCAGACCATTACATAAGGTAATTTATTTTTTTGATTGTGTATGCTGTTGGTCGCAGATTACCTTTACAGCGTCACCGGGCTTGGGGACGGTGAGATCCTAAGGAGACCTCAAGCCGAGAATTGGCCTCTAGAGGTATTCCAGGTGGATGGCATCTGCCCACGGGGGTCTCCTCTCCGTATGGAGTATCTAGACCACTCGAACCTGAGAAGGTCGGCTCAACTAGAGGGCGTCTTTGAGACTCGGACCTCCGTGGGCAGATGCCATCCGCCTGGAATACCTCTAGTAATAGTTGTCGTGGGAGGGGGGGGGGGGGGGGGCGGGGAAAAACGCCTAGGTACGTACCTGTACCTGGTATAGCGTATCGTGTGACGACCGGGTCTTTGCATAAGGTATCATGTTACAACTGAGTTATTAGTGTTACATTTATACTACTGTTAAATTTTAGGTAAAATAGTTAATTATGCTATTTTTTATTGTATATTTTTTGTTATTAATACGCTTTATTATTATGTTTGTAAGAATAACAAACATTATAATAGAAGTAAAAATACATCGAGCATGCATCATCGTTGTCACTTACAAAAGTGGTAAATCAGTTAAAATACTTCGGAAATATATTATACGGAATAAATGGTAAGTGTAGATTTTTTTGTGTAGCGTTTATGCGGCCGGTTCGGAATGGACAATAATAGTGTTAATGAATTTTTAAATAGTGTCGGCATGGGACGGAAGAATCGATACCGCCTACAACGGTATGGCTAGAATTATTATAGGTACAATCTATACCATTCCACGCTTTATATCGATCAGTTACAATTTCATTATAATTATACATAATTTACATAAGTAACATTTATTTCATAAGCGGATTGGAACTTTCAAAACGCACGTTCTCTGGTTTAAGATAATACGTCATATATGTTATTATATTACTAAATTCCCTTTTTTCTTCTAAACGAAATAACTGTTACTAATTTCTAACGAACCACTTTTTAAAAATCAACTATGCTTACGAACTAAAATGATATAATGAATTGTACTGAAATGGAGTTTACTCACTATTATCGATACATAATTATTCGTGTTAATAAATAATGAGTCGATGTCGATTCAACAATAAACATTTTCTTTTCTTTTAACTTTCACTAAATATAATTCGCGAGATTTTCATAATATACCATTTTTATCAACTATTGCTCTTCAAAATCAACTATTATAATAATATTTTTCTTCTCTTATAATTTATAATTGTTTCACATTATAAGTCGTAATATACAATATTTTATTTATGTATAATTTTCAGCACGCGTGCATTTGACACCATTAGCGTACGAGCGTTATTAAAATCTTATAAATATTTATTTTTTTAAATTAACTATAGGAGATAAAATTCATTATTCTCTAATATAAATAAATCTCATAGCAATAATCTCTCAAGTTAATGTGAATTTGAGCAATAGATACTAAAACGAAATCATTTTACACAGCTTACATGTATAATTTTGCTCACAATTATACCTTTCTAATAATCAAATGCTATAAAGCGATAGTGATCGCAAATAACAATGTTTAAAGTATAATTAGATGATTTCTCAGAGATTATTGCTATTAAATTTGTTTTATATTTTCAGTATTGTTTTCACTATGTTACGTCACAAAGCTTTATAAAAATTCTCTTTCGCCATTTCTGTTTTCGTATCTCCCGACTCACCGCACTACCCCTGTGGAGTTGAATGTATGAGGCTCTTCGTCTACGTATAAAATCACAAGTGGAGCACATTATAATCATCATAAACAGTTTGTTGTCATTCACCGCAGTTCGTAATACACTTTATATCCGATCTCACATCTTCACAAGTCCTGTCATCTGAAAAAAAGAAATAAATATTAAATTACGCCGCAAACAAATATATGTATATTAAATAATACTTGGTTTTGTTCGTATGCCGTGTATAAAAATTGTTGAATTACAGGACTAGAAATTTTATTTTTGTATTGTAAAGCGTAATAATGATATAAAATAAGAATACAAAAAAAGCATAATTGACTGTTACTTTACCTAAACCATAAACATTACAATAAATGTTTCATTAATAACTCAGTTGTAACATGGCGAAACGTGGATTTAAATTATGTATGATAGTTAATCAATTTATTTATAATTTTAGTATCAATACATTTTGATAATCAACTTGTCGTGTATTAAAAATAATTGTATAAAATGAAATAAAATATTTTTCAAGATAAAAATAAATATTTATAGTATATATATACATACTTGGAAATAATGACGTGATAGTAACATTGATAAAAAATACTAAAAGCTCAGAAACACGATACAGAATATATGTATAAATTGAATTTGTAAGTGTAAGTGAAAAAAAATCAAAATGCACATTTTGATCGCTTTTGAAATCAATAATATTTTGATAAGCTCAAACTGTAGTGTACTGTTTATTGCTAAAATAGGTGCAGGTTAGAAAAAAATGTGTCACGCAACACTGAACCTTAAGCTTCTGGTGATAAAGTTGGATTAGCTGACGTACCTCTGTGTTTGGTATATTATAGTTGTATTTCTCATTAGGCGTTCACGAATGATGACTTGGTCCTGGTGAAACAAGAACTTGTGTCAGAAAATGACCTGTTATTCTTTGAGCATTGTCTCTAAATTCAACTTAAATGAAGTTTGTTAGTTTAGTGTACCTACTCAGTTAATACGATTTTTTAAATTTTTAAAAATAAATTAAACGATAGTGAAAAAAACTGCGCAACTTTGTGTTTTTTCTAATAAGGTGAAAATTTTACCAATACGTATATTTATAACAATCATTTTTTTTTATTTTTTTAAAGTGCTAAATTATATAATACAATTATAACATTTTGTAACCCTTAATATCTTATGATGAAAGAGATATCACTGAAAAAATAATATTTGTAACGAAATATGACGTAAACCCTAATTTTTAAAAATTACTCTGTAATTATGTTTTTATTATACATAAATTATAAACACTCAGCAATTATATCTTAGGTGAGTACATGATTTTCGATAAAACTCACTTTGAATAAATGACAGTTTCACCTTTAGGAAGTTTTAAGTATGTTGACACATTATGGAAAGCCTAATGCGTGTTGAGTTTTGTTGGTAAATTGTTAATGGACTGTGTATTCTCTTGAGGTCTTATTTTTTTTGTGTTGACAAGCTTATACATAATAATAATTTAAATAAAATGTTTGTAATAAAATAAACACATTTTTCATTTTATTCGTCCCATTAAATCTATTTTATAAAATTAAAAATAATGAAAATACTAATTTAAAGAAAATCTTGAAGTGAGACCTAGACGATTAGCATTTAAAGCGAGAGAGAAAAATAGTTAACGATTTAAGATTTAATTTCAAAATTAATATTCATCGACTACTACGTTTAATTTTGTTTAATCTGTTGGTGCCTACGAAACATTAATCCAAGAGTCCCGTTTTTTGTTAAAATAGATTGGTCGAGCCTAAATCATTTATTACTTATAAAATATTTATTGCGAAAAAAAAGTTCAACTTACCCAGACAGAGATGCTGAATTGGAAATAGCTGGACTATTGGACTCGAAACCTTCTTTCGGCTTCTCATTAGCTAACTGCATTTTGAGTTGGTGACCGAAGCATACAGCTAAATCCTCCCTGAACGTATCGGAACCTGGTGTCGTCGGCTTCTCATCATCACCAGTCGCCATCGCCTCTGCATCATTCTTCAAAGGTTCCTGCTCAGATTCCTCCTCAGTATTGTAGATCTTAAAGTACGCGAACGTTAAGTATATCACCGATATGAAGAACGATGGTATCGGTATCGCCATGGCATAAACCAAATTCAGCGTATTCTGCCACATGTCCAGCTCAGTGATGACCAATCCTGGATCTACGCGGCTGTAGTAACAAGAATAGTTGGTACCTATAGGCCTGTACTTCCCATAGAATATGGTGCAATTCAAAATGGGCGGATAACCGCAACCCTTCACGTTCGGGAAGAGACGCGCACCAGTGAAGTACCATTCGGAATCGTTCCCCTGCAACCCTGTGGGCGGTACGTCTGGCAACTCCTGTTCTTCAGGCATGTCTGGGTAGTTCTTCTCAGCTGCCGTTTCGTAGTTCTCGTATTCGTAATCTTTCCTCAAAGCCCGCTCTACCCTAATCAGGGTCTCATATTCGGTGGCTGTTATGTTAGCGTCGTATCCTAGTTTGTAGTTAACTCTTATTTGGGTGCATTCAAAAAGATCTTTGGTGCAGCCTTCTCTGCAAGAGGCCCAAGAACAGTTGCTGACTCCGACCAAGTGTTTCACGGACGCAGTCACGCATAATGCTGCCACTGGATCGAACTGCATAAATATGGTGGTGAAAGCGGGCTCTATGACGAACGGTACTAAGAACAAGAAGGCAAACAGGCTGAACGTAGCGAGTAATACGAAGCTGGCTGTTGTGTAGAACAGGAGTTTCTCGAGAAAAGTTGGGGGGATTTTCTCTTCATCGGCCATGGTGGCGAGGCGGCGCTAGTAGCGACCATAGCGCTAGCTTCAGCTGTTCCGTGTCATTTCAATGGAATTGTCATCACAGTTCGGGTTTTCGCTTCCGTTGTTGGTCACAGAGATGAGGCTTTGGAGTTTGGTCAGTCACATTTTTTGTACGTCTGCATATGGCGGTTCGGTATAGGCCTGGTTTACTTGGGCTGTTGAATGAGAAAAAAAATATTATTAGAAAAAGTATAGATTTGGATTTGATGTACAATAGGGGTGATGACGGAGTACAGTAAACGAAATTCTATTTAGTCCGTCAGTTAGATTATCAAAGAATAATGGACACGTATTTTTTCTTTGGGCAATCAACCAAAAAATGACAAAGTTATAGCGCGTCAAAGTTTGAGAGTAAGGGCTCGTGACGTTACTTTTGAGTGAAAATTGTACTTGTTTAATTGTAAAACGTGACGTCATGCGAATTTTCAAATCAATATATCTCTGCAATGTTTATATTATGTGAAAAAAGAAAAAATACGTGTCCAATACTTTTTGATAATCTACCTGATAAATGAAGAAAAAAAATTAGACATCATCCCTATTAGATTAGAACATACAGGTATGGTAAAGTGTGCAAAGCTGGATTAAAAAAAAAACTGGGGATAACTTAAGTCTAAAGTGATAAGTAATTTCAAAGACTCTTCTCTCAGAAGTTTTGTTTACTTTCTTCAACACATTTTCTCAAAAAATACATTTACTTAGGTTGTATACATTGTTAAAATGTTCAAAATTATGGGTCACGTATTTGTTTCTTAGGTTTTCACGCACATCACTCATTAAATAAAACTAGTTTTTACGGGTTAATGCACGAAACTTTATTTATTTATTGACGTTTCGCAGCCTTTTCAGGTCTGCATCGTCAGAATAATGATTTTATTTAAAATTGATTTAAAATTTTAAATAAAATCATTATTCTTATATTATATTGATCGAACCTCCTTGGTATCGCTTTCAATCTATACCTCAGTGTCAATTTAACACCAAGAAAAAATGAGACATAAGCTGTGGTTCTAAATTTCACCATCTGCACGAAATCGCGCCCTTTTCTTATTAGAAAAAGTTTACTTTGTTATTAAAATTATACCGTTTTCACTTAAATGTGTTAGAAAACGTTGTATTATGACATTAATGCGAGATTGGTATTTACAAACTCGTCACTATGTGTCGCCGCACACGGGCCAACGACCACAACCACAAAACTCCGCCACCGCCATATTTCTTATAGTTTTCATACATTTTATATGGACTCGCCACACACGGTACCCCGGTGGCCGCCACACGCTACAAATCGTCGTTGCTCGCTTCTTGTGGACCACACCGGCCACTTAATGCGACGATACAAAGCGCCGCCACACGTTACTCGGGCGATTCCCCACACCTCACTCCCTTACCTTAGTCGGCCGCTGTCGCGCGCTTCAGCCACTTTAGTAGCCGCTTCTAGCTTCTCGTGGCGGCATTTGTGCCTCTGGCGTGTGGCCCGTGTGCGGCGATACAAAGGTTTCTTTCGTCTGCTCATTTGTAAAAAAACAAATTTACCGCAATAATATCACGAATAACTTTTGTTATTATTTGATTGGTAAATTGGAAAACGTCACGTCAATTCTCTTCTACAACCACGACACTTCAGCAAATAAACATTTCCGAATATTTCCCTATCGCGATTCTTTTAATTAAATTCGAAGCGTTGGAAATTCTTTTTATAATAATCGAGCCGCTGTCAGTTCTGGTGTTGTTTTCTAATCAGATCTAAAGCTCCTTCGCGAGACAGCACTTAAGGGCCTCTCCGATGTCTACTCGAAAGAAGCGGTTACTTAACGAATAGCCGGCGATCGATCAAAAAATGCTTTTGCAAATTCTAAATAGCCTTTTTATAACAGCGTTTAAGAGGAACCATGCTAGCACATTTTTAACCACTATTATAGTAATGTTTTTATTTATTTTTAAGCATTTCACTGCTAGATGTTTAAATCTAAAGAAAAGTTTACTAGAAAAAATCCACGCGGACCAGGCAGCGGACTGGACTCGAACCCTTCGCAATCCGGGCGAATGCATGACCATTATGCTACGACTGGTTTTTTTTCTAGTAAACGTTTCTTTGGATTTTAACTATTAAAGTATATTTGACTATGGCAAGTTCTATTTATTTATTTAGGTATATATTCTGGCAACACAAATATAGATAAAGAAACAGATTAACGAAAGATCAACATACAAGGGTACAACTTATTTCAATCTGAAATTTCTTACAGTAGGTCCGTGGTAGGAGAGAATATGAAAAAAAATACAGTCAGCGTGTATATCTGAATAAACGTACATGTAAAATACTTATAAATATGGGAACTACATATATAGGTTATATGCAGTACATACAAAATGAATAAATGTTTACAATTCTATGTGTGAAGAGAAACAATAAAATGATTAGATGTTATAAGTATTTTTATAGCAGCTTTTCAATATTCGGCTGTCATTACTTATTTTAAAGAATTATAAAGATGTTCCAGTTAACATCTGAAATGTCATATCATTATATTTACGTTTTAAAATCTTAGGATAATATTCAATTTTCAATTTGACGACTCTGTAAATAATAAAACAGGGAGAAAAAAGCAGCCCTTGCTGAGTTTCTTGCCGGTTTTTCTCAGTACAACAAGGTCTCCCGCCGTAGATTTACAAACCGATGGCGTAGCTTCTAGACATTCATGAGTGCTTGTATCAGCCTAAACTGAATTAATGATTTTGATTATGATTATGATTAAAAAAAAAGGTTAATTAAGTCATGATTATGTTTCTATATAAATAACCTACTCGAGTCGATATAACCAAGGTCTTTGAAATCCGAAATTTGATTCTGTCAGTAAACTTTTAAGATATAATTTTAATCACTTTCAAGAATATTTAATCAAATTGTTTAAGTACTTCAATAGTATGTACATAAAGGTTTTTTAAGTAAATTATCTATAATGTGCTGATTCTGTCAACTAACTTGTTAGACATAATTTTAGTCACTTTAAGGTTTAATTCATCGATTTAAATACTCCAATACTATGTACATATACGCTTAAAATTATCTATTATGATATGGTGGAAAAAAAATAGGCATTTTTCAATGCGATTATTTTCTAAACTGATGTCACTGGATACAAAATACAATTTTATAATGTTCAACTATAGTTTTTACCGCTAATATTATAGCAGTGGTGAGCACACGAAAGCACTATCTGTCGTATAACATGTCAGCTTACACTGAATACAGAACACAGACATGCCCTAACCACACAAGAAGACTAACGCTCAGTTCTGTAAACAGATCGAAATATCGTGTGGTCACAGTGACAGCGTGTAAACTATATATAAAACCACATAGTATGTATATTGTTTTAAACTTTCATGGTCACTAACATTTGTTTTTGGCGAGTTTCCGATATTTCGGCACTGTTGCAAGCGCCATGATCACGGAGTAACTGAAGTAATTGCGGGTAGGCTGTTATTGGCAGACATATCGGTCTACCCTCCGACGAAGTCTTTTATTGCGTTCGATACTAAAAACTAAAAACAAGGTACATGGTAACAATCCCGTAAATAACTTATATTACATAGTACGTACTCCCAATAATAAACATTTGTAGAAATGCACCATTAAGGCGAAACTAATTACCTCATTCCACCTGATTTTAAGTGTAGGTAGAATCCAGTCGTAGATAGCTGATGCGGCAGAAAATATGCCGCTCTAGCTATCCTCACCTTTCCGGCCTAAACCCAATCGTCTACACCGTGGAGTCTTAGCACCCTACTCATCAGCAGTACACTGCACCACCAAAGATATATTTGACTGTGGCCTCCTGTAAGGTGAAGGTTGCTTTCATAGATGGGCGCTCCAATTCGCGAGGAAAACCCGCTGTGCAGTACCTCTCTTAAAACTCTTCTCAAATGTGTCAGTACACACATATATATATTATATGTCTAATTAGAGTACTTAGATTTGATGTAGATTGTATGTATGGATGTGACTATTTATTCCAAGTCATTTAACACCTATGGTCTTTGTATAACTTTTCATACTAAGTGGTTGTCTGGAAGAAATCGCTCTTAGCGACCGCCAATTATAATGCTCTTTTTATTTTTATTGTTTGTGAATGTTACGTAATTACATATGTATTTGGTGTTATAATAAAGTGTTAATCTATCTATCTATCTACACAATGATCAAATCAATTTATCCTTATGGGACTCGTAAAGGAAATTTGGAATATCCATAAACATTGTTTCCTAATAATATTACTACAAATGAATTTAAAATTGTATATTACAGTATCTTTGTAACTCTTCTATATGCTCTCTGGCTGATATTGTCTGAAATTTTCAAATTACTTTTCTGTCACAACAAATAACTTATTTAATGGTCAGAGCAGCGTAGGAAGTTAAAATATAGGCGATAGGTTATGCTAACCTGGTTTCATGCTACCAGAACCAGTGACTAATATTTCCGGATATAAACTAAGAACCAATTCTTGTATAAATGGTTTTGATTGAGTAATATTCTCACTAAAGTCTCCATTAAGCAACAGATTAGGTAATATTTACTACATCACCAAGGCTTATATTTGTCAAAGTAAAAAAATCTTTGTTCAAATTTAATGCAAACACTTTTGAATCATCTCCCTGCCACTCGTTATTGGACATAATATTTTTACACACACACAATTTACAAATCATTATATTGTTACAACGTTAATACAATATCTCATGTTACAATTCGCAAAAAAAGAAAATAGAACCAACTTATGTTAAAAGCTTGAACGAGAAAACAATCTCACTAAATTTTTCAGTTGCCATATTGCAGAGGTTTTTCATTTAGAGAATTAAATAACCCCAATATATCTGAGAGAAGAATGACGTCATCTCATGTAAATTTTGGAGGAACACGTTTCTGGGTAGGTTAAACGAATCCCTTTATCAATATG